TTCCTACGGGAAAGTAACGGTAATCTAATTACCGTTTTTGCAATAGTAATCCCTTACAAGTAACGAGTAAAGTCTGCATAAGAGTGATATAAATCTTCTTGTCAAACTCTTAGCAAGAAAGCAGATGTGTACATCCCAAAATTTCAAAATATTCTTTAAATTCTGTTGCAGTAATAATGAGATGCGTAATAAAAAGTAATACTTTTGCTGATCTAAAGTTGTATGATAGGCGATGCTTATTTTGTATTCCAGGCAAGTGTTTCACTTGATTTTAGAATATCAAAAGCCTCTAAAATTGTGACTAATACTGGTTGTAGTCAGAGCGTAATTCATCTCCATATTAGCTTAGCATAAATATCACAACACGATTAATATATCACAATGTTGTCATAATCCCATTAAACTGCAAAGGTAGTGAGCCACTGCAGCACTTTTGACTGAAACCTACTGGAAAAATCCCTCATTACATAATCTTTGGCTTGCAACAAGGGAGTATAAACACCCAATGATTCCATATAGACCTTCAGCTATGGATGTAAACAGTCAGCAGATAAAGGTCTGAGTGACAAAGGTCAAAACCAGTAGAGGATGACTCACTGGAGCAATGCTCTTTTCTGCTCACAGCTGAGCAGAAGTCTTTATGATCCTCACCCCTCTGCTTAGCTTCTGTGTGACTCATCTGCTGAGTGTCAGTCCCATCATCCCACAGACACCTCAAGCCTGCTGCGTGTATCCTACTTGTGTCTCACAAAGTAGTAATACCATTATAATCTACCACCATTAGGCTTTCTTCCCACTCTCAATTTAGTGTGTTTTCTGTTGTTTGCCTCATTCTTTTAATAACTGGAGTCTTTGTGTCATAAAAGAGAGTCTCTAAGCTATAGCTTGCTTAAAACATGCTGCTCTATAAAATGTTCTCTTTGAATATTTGGATCGGGACTGTCTACACTTACTGGCCACTTCATTAGGTGCATCTGCACAACTGCTTGTTCATGCAAATATCTAATCAGCGATGTAAGAAGATATACAGATGTCTCTGAATGCTTCGCCTATTGAACCTTCGAGCAGATGATTTATGTCAGTTAAGAACAGGAAACTGAGGATACAGTTTGCATGAGCTCACCAAAGCTGGACAAGTGCAGATTGGAAAAATGTTGCCTAATCTGATTAGTCCACTGCGACATTTGGTGGAAGGGTCAGAATTTGGCATAAACAACATAAAAACATGGATCCATCCTGCCTAGTATCAGTAGTTCAGGCTACTACTAGTGGTGTAATAGTGTGAGAGAATGGCTACTTTGAACATTTTGGGCCACTTAGTAGCAATTGAGCATCATTTAAAAGCCATAGTCAACTATATTGTTGCTGCCCATGTCTATCCATTTGTGACCACGGGGTATCCGTCTTGTAATGGCTGCTTTCAGCAGGGTAACACGCCACGTCACAAAGCTCAAAATCATCTCAAACTGGTTTCAAGCTGGTGAATAGGACATTAAGTTGTCTGTACTCAAATGGCCCCCACAAGCAGCAGATCTCAATCTAACAGAGCACCTTTGGGATGTGGTGAAAAGGGAGATTCACATCATCGATGCTATCATGTCAATATGGATCCAAATCTATGCGGAAATATTTCCAGAAACGTATTGAGCCTGTGCCAAAAATGGGTCTAACCCAAACAAGCAAGGTGTATGCAATAAAGTAGGTGTCAAGTGTAAATTAATTATATAATCATTATGTTATAACTTTCATATTGCTTACTTGCACACACACATTAACCTTTCAGAATACTCATTTAAATGTACAAAGAATGTTATTTATTTTGAGTGGATGGAAGCCGTCATTAGTGACAAGTAGATATAATTTCTTTTTTCTGTAGTACACAGTAAGTCCTTTCCCTATGTACTGCTAAATGGGATGGAGGAGGAGATCAATGAGATCAGAATCATAAGGGCATTCATACAATGTAAATCACCTTTCAACATATATCATGAAAATGTCCTTTCAAACGCCAAAAGCACACTGCAGTGAATCAGCACTGATGATACCAGAGTTCTGCCTGCCAGTGTTATCCAATGCTCTGTATGTTCGCCAATGTTTGT